GGATGAGCTGGTTTAGCTTCAATCGCCATCCCTGAAGGACTCATAGAACTGCTGACTTTTACGGATAGGCGATAAGTTGGTTTAGCCTTAATCGCCATACCTGAAGGACTGAGGAATATTTTTTTTTTTTGACATGAGTCAACTAGGGACCAACCGGTGACCCAGAAGGGCAAGGTAGGCTGTTATGACACCCGCGACGTATCCGTTTCTTTTTAGCAACTCGCGACATCGGAAGAAGGAAAAAATCCAATAACACTTGTTCAAACAATCGATAATAAAAATTCCAACGGAAAGTCGGGTCACCATGCTGGTTTTCCCACCTACGCCTCTTAGATTTCGCTTGTATATTCTAACCTCCGTGTAAATTAATAAAGAGTAAATAAGAACAACCAGAAGGTCCAAGTAATTTTTATTCAACAAATATTCTTGGAAAGAGTCTTGGAGTGGCTGAGCTTACCCTTCCCAAGAAGACTCGTTACAATCTGATATTGGAAAAAGCGCAAGAAATTTCAAAGATATAATAATATCTTGAAAGGCTGGAAAGACAAATATGCTGCAATAGCAACATCAAATGATCGTCTTTTCTACAAAATCTACTTTTCGTCGTCTTTATTACTATTGCTGATTCTAACTTTACCACGTGGAAGATTGAGGTGTTCAGCGGACTCGTGCGCAATCATATCTACGACAAAGTTTATTTAAGGATCGTTGAATAGGTTTCATCTGACTCATGTGAACAGTGCCACACAAGAGAGTCAACTGAGCAGCTTATTTTAACATGCAGTAAATTCAACAATCCATTTGGGATTTCCGATATCTGTAATAACCTACATGAAATCGTTCGCGATCACCACAAAGCCCATCTTAAGCAGGATAATGCCTTTATTGGAACAGCTGAAGCCACTTTCAAAATTACTATAAGTACAATTAAATGCTTTGTCTAGTGTAGTTATATTTTTCAAAATTTTATCAACAAGTTAATATTTCCTATATAGCTATAGCTTCAAATCAGTCTTCTGGACTAAACTCCAGAGTGGACAGGACTGAATGGCCTACTACAACATGGATAACTCCTAATCAAGAGAGATCAACATCATCAACTCATCAATAAATCAATAATAATCATCACGTAATCTACACCAACAATTTTCTTTGATAATTATCTTTACTGCTATAAACCACAAACACTAAAGAATAAGTCATTTTAAAAACTCCACACTGATGGACACATTCGTCTTTTCCATTCTCCTTTGAAATATGAAAAAAGAGGAAATACTTAAGTAATATTGATCAACATACAAACTTTTAGATGGAATGACTCCTGTGCACTTTATGCTGTTGGGCGAAAAAAGTAATTCAATGCAATTCATTGCGAAGCTATATGCGCTACGAAAAAACGCAAACAATGTTTATACAAACATTAGTACTTATAGACACTTTTATTTTATTTGGCCGCGGATCTTTTGGGTTGGAGAGGGACCATTATGTTAAGACAGACGGATGATGAATTTAATTTTAGTCTGGCCATCTCTATTACAGAGGCATTAGTTGAAAGCGTTCGTTTCTTATGTTTTCCGTAAGCGGAGCGACTTGATTGCTTTGAGGTCCCAGTCCGTACTATTCTCTCGTACGGTGTGTGGTGAGCTACATGGCACTCGTAAGTCTTGCCAGAGACTTCTCCTCTTTCTGGTATGGTAATGTACTTGTACCTGTTTCCACGTTTCTTTGTGTTATTATTGTCGTGTGAACCCGGTTTGAACCTTGCTCACTTTTTCTTCCCATGGTGTCGTTTCCCTTAATAAACGAAAGAGATCGAAATAGGCCTCCTCTGCCCAGCGAGAACACAATTTCCGTTTACATTAAGCGACGTTTCTTCACTTCATACGCCGTCGGACATCGTAAGGTTGAGCCTCCACGTCTGATACCTACGTAAAGCCCTTGTTACATTTATCCTTTAATCAAGTTGCCAATTCCAAATGTCATTGTGACATTTCCATGACAATGTTTTTTTGCCTATTAAATATTGTACGACTTATTGTTCATCTTCTCATCAGTCGCGTAGCAAGTAAAACATCATCAATCTGTATTTAGTTTTTACATTTTAGGAATTTCATTTCCCAGAAAATCAGGTTCTTCTTATTCAGACTACTCTTACGGAATGTGTGATTCCCATAAAAATATCCACCGTATATCATGCCTTATTTACACGCATTGCTGTGAAATTTTTCATGCATTTGTATAGAAATTTTCTTTCTCTAGGGAATCTAAATCTCTATATATAATCAATCCACACTCAGGAAAAACAAATTCACATTACATATCTCTGACAAATTCAATATACCCTCGGCTATAATAGTGAGAGTTTGTCCCCGTCGCGGGCACTTGATATTTCCACACCCAGCACGAGAAGATAAGCGACTTCAAATTAGCCAACACCTGTGTGCTTGGACCGATTTAGTCCACGTAACTGAGAACACCTCTATTTTTAAAAAGGAAGAAAAAATTGGATTTTTGATTATTACTCATGTACTATATCAGATAAATTTCCAAAAATTTAAACGCATATTCTCTGCGTTTATAACGCGCAGAAACAGGCCCTCAAAAAATCCTATAACATATGTAAATTCTTGGCCAGATTCAAACTTGGAATGTTCCTAACCATATCCGTCTCTTCGTCTATCCATCTGTCCTTCCGCACAACTGTGTAGTACGTGTGGTAATCATTCTCGCGGTAGCGAAAATGAAGATATCGTCTGCAAATTTGCAAAAGAATTTGAAGTGACCTAAACTTTTCAACGGACATTCTTACAACGGCCATGCCACAGAAACTTTCAGTTTGAAGAGAGAAAAAATCACCCGAATCCACTCCAAATTACATAGCATGACAATTTAGTTGTACTACTATTTTGATCTCTTTTAGTAAAACGATGATAGGTATACAAAATTCGATCACAACCGAATATAATTTTCTTACTTGTTGATATTACGCATGATATTTCAAAAATCATTTTGTTGGAAACTTTTCCGATTTACTTAAAATCCAATTAGTTTTAAAATATTTGGTGTAGAAACCTTTTCTAGGATCATATTTCTCGTTGTAAATGAAGCATTCAAAATCCAGAAGTAATCAGCATCACAATGTCCGTTCGTAACTGTTTCCAATTTATCCGAGCACCTAAACAAATCACAAAGTTTTTTTGGAAGCGTCGAAAGCCATTGAACATAAATCTAAGGAGATCGGTTAAGGAGTAATAGGCGAAAAAATCTAGTAATGGTTTTTTTTTTTTAAATTTGTTTACCTTACATGTTACAGTATGGTTGCTATGTGTGGACCACGTCGCGCTGGGCAAGCAAGAACCGTCGAATTAAATAACGGCATGGAAATACCATTTTTGGGACTGGGTACTTGGGGGGTAAGCAGCAAATATCTGTAAAAACTCTTCATATTTTATATTAAAAAAAAATAAAGAGTGTAGGGGATCAAGGTACCGAAGCAGTCGTTAATGCGGTGGAAGTCGGTTACAGATTAATTGACTGTGCTCCTATCTACCAAAATGAATCGTGCATTGGTAGCGGAATAAAGAGTATCTTAGAAAATAAAGTAGTCAAAAGGTACGTACGCCTCAAGTGCTAAAAACCAAATGAAAAATTTAACAAAGCTATTATTTGCCATTATCTGTACACCTACAGAGAAGAATTATTTATAATTAGCAAACTGTGGAATACATTTCATCGACCGGATTTGGTTGAGGAAGGGATATGTATGTCCCTAAACGACTTAAGATTGGATTACTTAGATTCGTATTTGATGCATTGGCCAATGGCGTATCATGAAGGAGAAACCTTAATACCACGAGATGCATGTGGCAAAATCAAATATTCAAGTGTAGACTATATCGATACATGGAAAGCTATGGAAAACTTAGTGAAACTAGGTCTCACTAAATCTATAGGCTTGTCTAATTTCAATAAGGAACAAATTCAACGAATTTTAGATATTAGCACTGTACGCCCCGTTATCCTTCAAATAGAATGCCATCCATACTTGACGCAACATAAAATGATAGACTATTGTCGGAAAAATAAAATTGTTGTTATAAGTTACAGTCCCTTAGGCGCACCCGCTCGTCCCTGGGCACTCAGAGGTGAACAGCGTTTATTGGATGACAAGATGGTCAGTATTTATAATATTTTTACATATGTACGTATATGTATTCACCAACACGATTATATGGTTCTCTCCTTAATTAGCTGGAGAAACTAAGCGTAAAATACAACAAGACGCCTGCTCAGATACTGATACGTTATCAGATACAACGAGGTAATGTCGTTATACCGAAGTCGGTCACAAAGGCACGCATTATAAGCAACTTTGATGTGTTCGAGTGGTCTTTGGAAGAAAAGGACGTAAAAGATTTGGACAGTATGAACCAGAGCAAGCGATTTATTGCTTTTTTTAGGTAAATTATCATCTGATTCATTATTTTAAATTTGCTAACATTTGTAAGTGAATTTATTTTACAGGGATGCTGGTAAGCATAAATATTTTCCATTTTGGGATGAATTTTAATAGTGGACTTCCCTCAGTGTATAAAGTTGCGAATTCCGTATTTATCTAGGAAGAGGACGATGAGCTGATTACATGTGCAGAATTACTACCATTCCAAAAAACTAAATATTTTTTTGCTAATTTAAAATCCTCCGTTTTATTAAAAACTGTGTACAATCTATTTCGGAAACGAATAAATTTATTGCACTTGTATCCAAAAGAGTATAACTCGCATGTGTGAGCCTCGATACGCTGGAGGATCGGCGTTAGGTGAGCTGTGTAGCGCTTATGAAAAGTTACATTCAGGGCAAGCGTCTATAGAGATAAAAGAGATGTCCACATATTAAACCCTTCAATAGGACCGCAACTCTTTCTCACCGCTCCCGTCTACCTCTCCGGGAGTTACCTGTATATCTATCGCGACTTGTCGCTTTTCAACCGTTCTTTGGAACAACGTACCAGCAGTGGTTTCTACTGCTGCAGATAATGTTTCCATTTTCAAGTCGAACGTTCGCAAACACTGTTGCCTTTGTTCATCCCACTTTCTCAGTTATGAACAACAACCTTTACAGTTTTTGTGCAAGAATATATGGTTAAGAAATATTAAAAAAATTCTAAGTGAAAACAACAGTTAATTATTTTTTATTTAAGAGTTTACATACATATGCTATATACATATAAAACAAAAGATATGCTGAAGGTAAAGTAATCAATCCTTGAGTTTAATGAGATTAAAAAGCTCAGCATCTTTCAAATGGATAATATGGATGGTTGCGTATGCTAAATTTGTACAAACGAAGGTCCTTAATATGTAGTGATCAACATTTATTTCTTTCATCCCTTACCCGGCAAATTTAAAAAGACGCATACCATAGTCTAAACTATCTAAATTTTGCATATCCTCGGGATGTAGTTCAAATTCGAAAATATTAAAGTTATTCTGCATATTTTCACAAGTTCCTGACTTCGGTATCGCAGCATGACCCAACTGAATTTGATAGCGTAGCAGTATTTGCGCAGGAGTTTTCTTATGTCTCATCGCGATATCTAAGACCTGGAAAAGAAATTGACCACATTTAGAAAATACGGATTGCTAAAATAGACGAATGCGCATTCTGACCGTTGAATTCTTCAAAAGTATGTTTTTTGTATCTTTACCAGCCCATGGTCGGGCGGGAGAACCGAGTGGCGCGTAAGCTGTTATGCATATATCGTTATATTTGCAAAACGAAATTAATTCCTTTTGCATAAGATATGGATGGGCTTCAATTTGATGAGTTTGTGGTATAATTGTGGCTTGTTTAAGCAAACGTTCAATTTGTTTTATATTGAAATTAGAAATACCGATATTTCTACAGAGATCTTGTTTGACTAAATCTTCCATTGCTTGCCATGTGCAAACGTAGTCGGCATCAGAAAACGAAACTTTTCCTTTTTTGATTGGAAAGAGATCATCGCCGGGCTTAAAACCCATTGGTGTGTGCATAAGATACATATCCAAATAATCTAAACCTAATTTTTCTAAACTTTCCTTGCAACCGCATAAAACATCATCGGGGCCATGGAAAGTATTCCACAGTTTAGACACAATGAAAAGCTCATCCCTAAATGAAGGGAAACTGTTAAACGATACGCTTTAGAGCAGATGTTCCTTTATATGCAAACCTTTGCACTTTTTTCTCTTGAATTTGTTTATTAAGCGCAACTCCGATTTCTTTTTCATTCTTATGTAAAGGAGCAGTATCGATATGTCGGAAGCCCACGTCTATGGCATTAGCAACAACTGCCTCCATTTCATTAGGTTTCGTCTACTTGTATTGATGAACATAATTGAAAGACTTTAAATTTAACTGAGTAAATACATACTCGGCCTTTGTCGCTGACTTCATCCACGTGAACATTTTCAATGATTGCATAATCTTTGGTGGCCTTAAAACAAAAAATCGGTTATTAAATCTTCAATCTTAATAATGACTATTACTCTTTAATTTGTGCTGTCATTAAAAATTATTATTATAAATTAATAAACTTTAAACTAAACTAATTTATGTTTGAAATACCGAGATTCTATTTTTTGGTACTTACTCCCCACGTTCCTAGGCCCAAAATAGGCATTTCATTGCCGTTGTTCATAACTATTTTTGGTATGTGTGTGCATGAGCCGCGAACGCTGAAAGAGTAGAAATGTGTGAAGGTGTGCCCCACCGAATTAGATTCCAGCATCTTTTCACTTACTCATATCGTGATTTAAAATATTTGGTTAACGGCCCGACGAAAATTTTGGTAGACAGACGTAAACGTATTCTATTCATTCCTGCTGCTTTTTTTTTTAAATTTTTTCCATTTTTTATAGAATTGCTGGCAAAGTAAGCACAGGTTACTATCTCGTTCGGAATACTTTTACTTGTTAGTTGCTTGTACTCAACTGACAAATTTTTATATCAAAAACCATGACTTGTTTTGACGTTTCGTTACGCAAAATTTATGAAGTTATTATGTAAGTCATCGCATATAAATCGTAAAATGAGAATTTCGTGACTATTTCAATAGGCTTAGAAGAATTGATCCAAATAGGGCTGATAATATTTAGAAAAATGCCAATTACGAGAGCTTTTGAAATAAAATTTTTGATTGACTCTCGACGGAGTCCTTCCGTTCCGACATTCGATTAAAAATGTAAAATAATTGAAAATTTGTTGATAAGAATAATTTGAATCAAATGGTTCTGTTTCTTTAACCTCACCACATATGTTCCACTTCGTATCGAAAAAGATTTAATTATAAATATTTTATGATGAAAAGTAGCAATTTAGCAGAAAAATTTGCAATAGTGAATGTTGATCACAGAGGTCTATTTTTGAATCCAATTTATGAAAATGCTATCATGAAGTCTAGTTTCTTATAACGAAAACAATAAAATTTTAAAACCTTTAGGAAGCAATATACGTTTGTAAAATTTATAATAAGTTTTGTGATGCTTCGGGCATCGTTCTCTATACGATTTCTATAAAAAGAACATGTTTGCATGAAAATCATGTGTAATTTTGATGCGCGAACAGCTGCACTAGGCAAAGTGGTGTAGGCATACTAGTGGTTGCCTTTGTCCAACTATTATGTCCTTACTTATTTTCTTCTCTTCATTTTGCTGCGTTACACTGTTTCTTTTTATACCCACCACTGTAAGATAGGACTGTATTCATTTTAATTATATTAATTCAATATATCTAACATCCAAAAGGAAGCTTCAGAGAAGCTATAAACTATTTGTATTCTTGATCAGCGTGAAATTCAGAGTTGATTTAGCCATGTTTCTCCGTCTATGTGTCTGTATGTATAGGTGTTTTCGTGGTTCGTGTTATTGGCACTATCCTGGTCGTAAAAGTGAATATATCGACTTCTGCACGTAGGTTGTTATTGAAAGTGGACCAAATCGGTCAGAGCAAAAGCGCGCAGTGGAGCGTAAACCGAACGCAACTCCGTTTTCTTTAAGAAAAATTTTTGGATTTTTCCACCTTACTCGAAATGTGTTAAGGTTAGAAGGCTGAAAATTGTTTGTACATTTACTTTATGAAGCACTCTTTACGTGCAAAAATGGAAAACATCCGCATTATCCACACAAAACTACCGTTAATTAAATATTGTTTTTTCAGTTTTTTAAGGTTTTATCGTTATCTATCAAAAGGCAAACAATACCGAATGTTTAAAACTGTTCTGTACACTCCTTAAATGCAGACATATTAACTGCCCAAAAATGGTTGGTTTTGAAATGAACATGGTAGACATGGTGATTAACATTTTCTTAACAATACCAACGATACGGGTAGTGGGTGTGTGAAATTCGGCTCCCACCGAATGTAACTTTCTTACCTGTTATTGTTTTGATAAGATGTTGTTATAGTTCATGATTAGGACACAACAAAAATTTATCTACAGTTAAGCATAATCACATTACATAAGAGAATTGGATGTTGATCACACTATAGCAAATGGAACTAGGATATGGAAGCTCGAAATTATTACAAGTTTGACTACTTATTAAACACTTTCGTTGGTTTTATGTTGTAACCTTGCATGCATGTAATTATGAGCTATATGGGAATAAATTGAATACTTCCACTAAGCACTATAAGGCAACATAAGCAAAATTACAAACATGATTACAGTACATAGAAATGCAATCAGCGGTAACAAGGAATGCATTGACTCATCTTTGTTTAAATATCAATGAGACACAGAGTCAACATTTATATGCACCTTTACATTATTCAGCAAACAAGGAATTAATTAAATTATGAGAAGCTTTCGTAATGCAATCAGTACAAGTGTTTGTAAATGAAAAATAATCCTTAAAGGAATTTGCATTTTACACAAAGTACATACGTATACATAGTAAATTCATTCTATTTAGACGTCAAGACTTGGTTGACGTTTAGGTACCCACGTTTTTCATGATGTTATTTTACGTATCTAATATTCAGTGGAACGGGTTTAATGTTTTAATAATCTTATGAATTCTATAACTTTTTTCAATTTCCTGTCCCTTTTAGCGAAAATTAGAAAAAACAACAAAATAATTATTTTTAAACTTTAAAATTTAAGGTTTAAAATTTAAATATGATATATTATCTTTTTTTCGCAAATGTTAGAATTTTTTTAAACTTTATTTCCATTTAAATTCAATTCCTTACCAATAATTGCTATAGAAAATAAAAAAATTTTTCTTTAACAATCTTAGAGAACAATTTGAATGCTTACGTAAATGTAGCAAAAAAAAAAATCGAAAAATTTGAAAGCCTTCTGGGAAAAGTGGTTTTATTTTTTATCAGAATTAGCTTTTATATATATATATTATTTTAAATTGATCAACTTACATCTTGGTTTTTTATATTAACATTTTTTCACACGTGTTCTATTGGTTCGAAGTATTTGCTATCAGATTCCAATAATAAAACCAGAATTGCTATGAGTGAAAATGTAGAAATATTGAGTTTTGACTAAAAAAAGTTGTATTTCGGTGACGTAAATGCTGTGATGCATATATCCACATGTATGGAGAGGGATCTGGGAAAGCTAATTTTATAATTTCTCTTATATTATTACTATTATTGTTGTTAACTTGACAGAGAATAAATTCAAAGACTAAAGTCTTAAAGCATCTAAGGTCACAAGGCTTTTGTTGGAATTTCAACCGCCCTTGAAATTCGAACCCACGATCATTGGGTTGTTAGCCGAGACTCTCCGCCTGTTCAGCCGCTCACTTCTCTTCTCACTTCTTCGTTGTGTGCATCAAAAACATTACATTATCTTTTTCTTGATCAACTTCACATTTTAAATATGCCATGTCTCACTCTCCGTACTTGTCTTGAAATGTAATAACGAAGATGCGGCGGTGATTTCGTAGGACAAGTTTGGAAACTAAAGTAGTTCGCAGACAAAGGAGCTAGCACAATATTTTTATTAAGTAAAATCATGATTTTGGTGTAGCGCGAATGTGTTCTTAAAATTCAGTTTAATAATGCCTTTATAGTTATTATATCTACTATAAAGGGAACAATAAACTCTCTTCCTAAATGTCCTTAGCACATAGAAATATGCATCGAGCTTTCCATATTCCGAATCTCTACGAACAGCGGAATCCTTTTGCTGGATTAGTCTATTTGCCCTAAAATTTAGCTTGGAAAAACAAATTTGAGCTTTTATTTCGTTTCGTTCTACTTTCTCCGGTTTGATTGGCTAGTTTGTTCAATTCATTTTACTAAAATGTGATGACATGTCCTCGTATTTTCAAGTTGTAAGATAAAATATTTAAAAAATTCGTACATGCAAAAGGATAAATATGTTAAAACGGAGTAAGCACACATGGCGACAAGGTTGTCAGGCGCTGTTAAACTTTATTAAAATTAAATTAAGGTCTACGTGTCGTATTATTTATGATATAATGTAAAGACACTAAGTCAAATATGTCGTTTTCATAAATTTTGATTACCTCCCATGAAGGATGGGGGATGTATTCAATATACCATATTAGTTGTAAGAGTGTAACGAGTCTTCTTGGGCAGGGTAGAAACTCAGCCACCCCAAGGTTCGTTGCAAGACAATTTATATGAAACAAAATGTTCCGGACCTTCAAGGGTGGTCTTATATATTCTTTTATTGATATGCGAGATTACAAGTGGTTTTGTAGAGGGTTGCCAAGGAATCAGCGACGTGACCCGACGAACGATTTGACGCAAAGGTGGCTAGAGGTTTTTTTCTTATCACGGGTTGCTCAGGCGGTTGTGGCTCAACTGAAGCGTTTATGACCGGTTTGATGCACACGTGGTTAGAGGTTTTACTGGCACTATCGCGGATTACTGCAAGAAAAACGGATAAGTTGCTCGTATCGTAGCTGCCTTGGCTTCATAGACCCACGGTTTGTCTCTGGTCGGTTATTCGTATGTGCAATAGTAAAAAAAATGTTCCCCCGTCTTTCAGGGATGGCGACTAACAACTAAGCCAGAACATCCCCTATCCGCAAAGTCAGTAGTCCTAAAAAGTCCTTAAGGATGGCGACTAACAGCTAAGCCAGCACGTCCCCTATCCGTAAAGTCAAACAAATAAACAATTCAAAAAGGTCAACTTGTCCAATTGTCCGGCTACACTTACCTTAGGCGGCTATGACACAATTGAAAGATTCTGTGTGATCAGCCGCTCTTTTATAGCCGGAGTCTCGCTCGCTTGTTCCATTACAAATATGTTCTGTATGTGCATTGTGGCACCATACTTATACGGAGGGTTAACTTAGGTCGGCTTCGACGTGTTTGACGCAACCTTAGTTGCGACTTGCCTGAAATACTTATACATAACATATTGCCAACTTACGTCTATCTTAATGCTATGTTTGATCGAATGCCTACTTAACATACACCAGGTACCAAATCGCGTGATTCATTCACCAGTAGGTGTGTGAGTGCTAAGTTTCCAATATTGTTCTTCGACACAGGTTTATTTTTCCTTTACGTTTCTTAACCTATGTGTACAATATTTCACATACGTTTCTATAGCGTTATACCATTTAGGTAGAGTAAGTGTATTTCCCTGTTTATGAGTGTTTAGACATGTTTATACGTGTGTGTTTATATATCTGGCATGTG